CCCCCGCCTCTTCAGGGCCGTTCACCGCCTGTCCTCCGTTGCGGATGTGAGGCTCCTGACCGAAAATGGGAGGCGTTTTTTATTTTGTTTTCTCTCTCTTCTCTGTACACTGTCCACCGGAGTGAGGAGGGGGCGCCGCTGTCACGGTCGGGATTAGAGATGCAACTGCTGGGGAGTTTCTCGTCGTGTTCTGTTCAGTTCTCTATCTATTTGCCACTCGCCCTCGTCATTTAACCCTCTTTTGATTCCCCGCAAGTGTCGTCTGGAGTCGGATCGAAACGGAAAGGAGAAAAATTCATACTTTACTCCTCTCAAGGACACTACCGCCTCTTTTGCTGTCTGTCGGGGTGGGGCACAAAAGCACAAGAAACCGCGACAAGGCGGGTATTGAATTGGGCCGAGCTGTGATTACGTGAGTGATGAGTAACAACGTGGGTGAGTCCCTTCCTATGACCAGCCTGGACGCGTGCATGCGATCCATTCAACAGGAGGCATCGACTGTGTGCATCAACCGCGCCCAGTGTGCGCTTCTGGCGCAGCGGTTAAATTTCATCTTTAAGACGCTTCGTCGCCTCCCCGACCCAGCGCCAACACCGCAGATGATAACGGTTTTCGCCTCTGCAGACTTGCTGATTCAGCGAATGAAGTACGACGAGTGGAAACAGATATTGAGACGCTACTTCACATGTCAGGCTTTTTTCGCCGGTATTTTCGACCGCATACCAATGGTCTGGCAGCTTCACTCCACGGCCTCATGGGCGAGTGAAGAGAAAACTGCCCTGGACGCAGATGAGGTGACGAACGCCAAAGTCTTTGTGCAGCTTTGTAGCATAGACGAGGAAGAGCCTCTTTACATCGGAACTGAGTCGCGTGAAGGCTGTATTGCGGAGGCACCTGCGTCTGAGTCCTGTGTGCCCACGGAAGAGCAAGTGATCAGCATCCAGCGTCGCAACCAGCTGGGCGCATGGAAGGTGTCATTTGAAGAACTCATACCTCCAGATGACAATGAGTTCGACAGTGTGACAAGCTCGCCCGACGCCCACTGTGTGTTCAATACATGTTATGGCTACTGGTACACAAGCACACCGGTCGTGTTGCAGCAGCTGGAAGGGTGCGATACCTGCCCCCTTACCCCAGACACGGTGATGAGCTTCGTGCAGGACATGGTCTCCCGCGCGCGCTGGTGTCATCCAAACATTGTCCCGTTTGTTGGGGCCTTCACGGAGAAAATGCCACCAACTGGAAGCGCGGATAGCTCAACTCTCAATGCGGTGGAGGTGACGGCGTCAACACCCACATTGGCACTAGGCGTCATCACGGAGGATATGGCCTCCCTCGTGGCGCAGTCAGTAAAGGGCAGCGATCCTAGCGCGCCTTCAACATCGTACTTTCTTCGCCACGTGAAGAGTGACGAGGATGTAGCATCGTTCTGTTCGCTACATGATCTCCTCTTTCTGCAGCGACGGCGGTTCACGCTGGAGGAGGCAATGGAAATCACACTGCAGGTTGCGGATGCCCTCCAATACGTCCTATTGGACGAATTGCAGGTGCCCGTAGAGGTGGCCACCGCGTGGGTCTCAGTGTCGCCATCAAACATCGTCGTCTGCCCCGTGGCGCCGTGGAGTGGGAAGGAGCGCCGCGCGTCCACCTGGGAGCGAGAGGGTGTCGTTATGAATGACGCGGACGAGGGCATGTGGTTATCCGACGAGGATGCGCCGTCCTTCTACAGCGATGTGGGGCGGCGGAAGTGCGTCAGCCTCCCCCTCATGGGGGCGTTTGCGGTCATGTACATGCCGCCTGTGTATGTCGAGGGCGGGCCGTTCAGCCGTTGGCGGCCGCACCCGCATGCTGCTAGCCCGGCAAGCTACGCTCTGGCGCAGCTGCTCATCGCCCTTGTAACCAACGAGGCGCCGTACCGTTCATTTCGGCGGCAGCAGGATCTTGCCGCACGTGTCTTTGCTGCTGCTGCCGCGGAGGAGGAGGCGGAGGGGGACGAAGACGAGGCAACTCTGGCAGTGAAGGTGAGCATACCACCCGGCAGCGCCATCCCCTCTGGCCTCCCGACAGAGGTGCAGCAGCTCTGCCAGCGTGGCATGGTGCTTCAACGTCCACATGCCGAAAATGCGCATTCCGGTATCTCGCTCGAGGGCTTCCGGGAAAAGCTTCAAAAGCTGCTTGAAGAAGTGGAAAATCTCTCGTATCCTCTTCCTTCTGACGCGCCGCAGCAGCGAAATGTGAGTTTCAGTGAGATTGAAATGATGCCCCCTGGCACCCCGCTGGATGACTACGGCGAACTCTCCAGTAGCACGTAGTGGCACACTGCTATTCCACCACCCCCACAGAATTGCGCAGCATTGAATATCCCAGTGACCAGCACTTGCTCGAGAAACAGAGACAGAGAAGTCAGAGTGATGAGCAAAGTCGTGGTGAGAGAAGGGCCTGTAGTGGAAAAGTTATACTGGACTGCCCTATGTCGAATTCAATCAGGTCAAACCACTTTGTTTGTCACTTTTTTTGTTGTTTAATTCTCCCTCCAGACTTCACTGTCAAGGTTTAGTACATCAGGTGGTGGCGTTCCTTGGTGAGGGCATCCGGTAGGGGGCGATGGATCGGTCCCCGTCGACGAAAAGCCAGACGGAGATGCCACGCGGCACCACCTCTGCCGTCAGTGGCTCACTCAGCAGCAGTAGCAGCAACGGCGGGGGTGGCGGCCGCAGGCATCCACATGGTCTCGACAGCCACAGACACCGTGGAGCAGCGCCGGGGAGTGCAGAGCTCCAGAGTGGCTACGCGTACCCTCCCGCCGCCAGCGTGCGGAGCGAGGAGAGTTTCAGCTGCCCCTCAGAAGCGGTGGGGTCCCTTGAGCATCACTACGCCATAACGGTACAGCAGCTAGAAAGGATAACGCACATGTATCACCGCCTTGACACACATAACGGTGAATTGGAGGAAGCCTTTGTTGTACTTCGCACTCGTCTCGAATCCTTCCGCTCCTTTTTAGTCTTCCGACTCCGTAAGACTGCGGATGAGGTGCGTTCCGAGGTGCGTCTCCTGCGTGACACTGTGGCCTTTCTCATGCAGGACTTTGCCGCGGACATGCAGTACTGCCAGCAGATCATATTAAGCCGTCTCCATAACGAAGGTAAACTGCTGCCACTTCCGCCCCCGTTTGGGTCGATTCATTTCCTTCCTGGAGGTCATGTGAATGCGGTGGGAGGGGTCTCAAATAGCGGGCTGCCGCCGCGGTCGCCACGTCAACAGCGACAGGATGAAGTGTACATTGTGAACGATTCGGCGGCACAGCGGCGTCAGGGATTCATTGACACGCCACGCCCATCATCGTCCTCGCCGTCTGCGCCACGACCGAGCGAGATGGACGGGCTCCGAGAGGCGCTCGACGAGGCGCTTCGGCAACGCGCGGTGCTGGAGCGAAAACTGCACGAGCAGCGGGAAAGCCACGAGAAGCATGTGCGCAGCATGAGGGACCTGTACGCACAGAAGGAGTGCACGTGGCAGCGACGAATGGAGCTGCTCGAACGACTCATACGGCGTGACACTGGTGATGCGCCGCATTTCTTTGACGATCACGACGGTGAATACGACAAGAGTAAAAACACCCAAGACGGCAGCGACGACGGCTTGCGGCATTCATCCCCTGGTCGCCGCAGAGAGGCACAAGCGCCCCACCATCGTGCCACTACCAACGCGTGGGTGAGCACGAGTGGCGCGTTCACCAAGCCGTCTGGTCGCGGCCGCCCGTTGACGGAGCGCGGCGCCCCCGACGACGCGACGGACCGCGATGACGCGTCGTCGCGGAATGCACCGAGCACCAGCGAGCACGGGAGTTGGGCGTCCGAGGAAGGAGGCGCAGGTGATGGCGGGGCGCAACCGGGCCGCCACCACGACCAGCGCCACCGGCTTCTGATGTCTGACGAGTGGGGGCATGGCACAACGGCGTCCCTCACGATGCACGACGAACTGGAGCGTCGTGTGCGGTCGCAGCTGGTGCGTGGGCGGCGACAGTCCGCGCAGCACCCCAGGGAATTCAACCTCCGCCCCGATCCCACCACGCGGCGGGAGGAAAGACTACTAGAGGCAGCTGCCTGTCGTTTGCTCAATGTCGTTGGTGACGCGTACGCGACGCAAGAGAAGCGGCAGAAGCCGGAGCGCTCCCACGCAAGGAGCTCGTCTGGAACGGATGTGGTGGAAAGGCTGTACTATCTGCCGCGATCGCCAGCACGGCGGCCGGAGACAAACACATATCTTGCTCCCGTCCCCAAAAGTGGCGCAGCGCCCCGTCCTGGCGCCATCTCCGAGGTGTCCACAGTGGCGCGTGGGCTGTGGGCGGAGAAGTTGTTGCAGCAGCGATCTGCGCGGCGGCCCCGGTAGAGTGCTGGCTGAATGGCATGCCCTTTCATTCTGTACAATTCCTTTCACGGCACACCGGCTACCCGGTAGTGTATAGTTGTGGCGGTGTGCACAACCCTGTACCCTTCTATATGCTTAAGTGTTTTTCTGGAAAGCAAAGAGTGTGCCCCTCTATAAGTGCTCTTTGTGGATATTCTAAAAAGGTGTGGCAGAGTTTCAATGATGGCGTGATGCTCTTTATCCGTATTTTTGGGGATCTTGCTTTCGTTTTTGTTGTTGTTGTTGTTGTTTTTTTTTGGGGGGTTCTGATGTTCCTGCCCTTCGTACGACAGGAAGAAGCGAGAAAAGCGTATTACGTCTGGAAAGAGGTCATGGCATTGCTGCAGATGCGTCGCGTGGGTGTGGCAGCAGCAACAGCAGCGGGGCTCACGTCTGTAACCCGTGTGACTGGCTGTGGCGCCACAACGACGCCGTGGCGATGGATGGCCACGACGAGGGTTGCGCTCGGGGAGAAGGGCGTGCGCTACTCGGGGGGTGGAATGGAAGGATTCACCGACGCGACGTACAACACCGCGGCGGACGCCTTTCTGGAGCACGTCGATAACGTTCTAGAGGAGATTGACAGTTCCGCACTTGAGGACGTGAGTCTGTCGGGCGGCGTGTTATCGATCGAGACTGCGTCGAAAGGGACGTTTGTGCTCAACAAGCAGGCGCCGAATGCTCAGCTTTGGCTCTCCTCCCCGGTGTCGGGGCCGCACCACTACGACATGATTCTGCCAGAGGGACGCAGCAAGGCAATGACACCGGACGTTGTGCGGTGGCTTGCCAACAGCGATGGGCATTGCCTGCAGGAGAAGCTGGAGAGGGAGCTGACAGACACGCTGGGCGTGGAGGTGAAGTTGTGAGCGAGCGTGCAGCACCACACATATCGTGCCGGGCCGTGGTGCTGCGGGTGAGCAGCGCATCACGCCCCGGGCAGCATCTTGGTGTAGTGCGTGCACGCCTTCTTATTTGGTCTCGCTCCTCTGTTGAGTCAGACACAGAGCAACATCACTTGAGCCCTCTTTGATGCTTGCTCTTTCTCTTGTGTTTTCTGCTAACCTGGCCACTTCTTATCGAGCGCATAACTTGTCAACAAAGATGCTTGCTCTTGTCGGGGGCGCTGTTGCTTGAGACCCCGATCGCCCAAGCGCCCATGTCAGGCGGCGCCACAACGACACGTCTTGTTGCCGCAGTCTGCAACACCGGGTGCTATCGGTTCGCGTGCTGCTGTGGTATGGTGTCTCCAAGTAATAGTACTGCATAGGCCGCCGCCATTCGGGTGCCCACGAGCAGGCCAAATCTTGTCCACCTCTTTACGCTTTCTGGTGACTACAGCGGCATATTTTGTGAGCTACACTGACGATTGGCTTACAATGCATTATTGACAAATTGAAGTGGAGTTTCTGCATCCGGTTCGGCGATTCGATATGTCCTTCTCGTGAAGAATTCAAAGCGTTTCTTGAGGTGTTGACGGTAATTGCTTTAGTTGCCTGTTTGAGCTCCCCACCCGCAGCACGGAGGAACAGCAGTTGAAAAGCCTTTAACTCGGCTCTCCCTGTTGAAGGGGAGGGGGGGGAATGCCGTGCCGCGGTGCCCACACCCCATTAGAGGCTGGTGGTGAGCTGATGAACGGCGCTGATGGGCACTGCTTTTATTCCAGCAGCTGATGTCTGACAGTCACACAGCATGCAGTGACAGCTCTGCTGAGCCCAGGTGAGGAAGGACGACGCGTGGAATAGCGAACGCCTTCATGGTTGTGTTCTCTGGCCACAAGAACGACGTGCCGTCGTGCCCGCAGTAGAATACCTACACGCAAGCGATGCAAAGAGGCCTCTGCATGGGTGAGGAATATGAAACATATGTCGTTGCGGTGCGAATTTGAGGCCTCTGCTGCTTCCACTGAGCATTGACAACAGGACTTGGCATATGGGCCGCAAGCATTCTAATTGCCGCGTCTCTTCGTTGTGTGCAATGCGCTCACGCGGTTCTGTATACATACTGCCCTTGCCTTCTCCCTTCCCCATCTTAAGATCCGTTTTATACCGACAACACCGCTCCGATAAGGGGGGCAAAGCAAGCAAGGTAGGAAGGAAGCAAGGAAAAGAACCAGGGAGATAAAGAAGGAGGCACCGACCGAAAAGCGAGGACCGAAGCGGAGGAGGAACGAAAAAAACAAACAAAAAAATAGGAGCATAAAAACCGGTGGGGAGTCCGTCGCGCAGACACACCGCAACGGTGCCAGAAAAGCAACTCGTAGCAAGCATAAGCACGGTCAAGACCAATTCCCTCGAGATGAACCAACAGAAAACACCAAAAAAAAAGTCATCCAATGGCACACACGTGGAAGCGGGTGTGCAAGATATTGCCAATGCGGCAGCGGCTGACGGGGCCAACGTTCTGCCGCCGCGACGCCTCTCACTTCGGGCTCGCTGCGCTGATGAGCACACACCGCATGAGAAGCAGCCAACAACACCTCGGCGCCTGTCGGAGACAGGAGAACCAGTGCAGCAGCAGCAGCAGCAGGATCACACCGGTGAGTTCTCGGATGCCAACTCGGAGGAGCCCCAAGCTGAGATGGCGGCGCCGGTACCGGTGCCGCAGTGGCAGCAGGAAAACACCGCCGTGATGTCATACCGGAAGGTCTTTGAGGGCGATGGGTGGCCGGCGCTGCTGTCCTCTGCACGTGACAACATCGAGCGGACGCTACTCAACGAAACATCCAAGGCAACAGGGTTGCATGACAGCTGCATCCGCATCGTTGATATGGACACTGAAGGAGAGAAACTTGTTGCAGAGCTCGCGCTGGTGTACGAAGCCACAAAGTCGGAGGCAAGTATGCGAGACACCTTGGACAACTACCCATTTGATGGAATGAAAATGCTGCTGGAGATCAAGGCAGAGGCGAGGGAACAGCAGCCCACGGGGCTCGGGGCACTTCTGCAAAACATGGCAATGCAGAGGGAAGAAGAGGATGGTGAAAGTGCCTCTTCTGCGAGTGGAGCGGGCGAAAAGGGGGAGGAGGAGGCAGCGGATGGCGTAGACGCCCCTCCGAAGAAGACAGAGGACACGACGGCCACGGCACTGCAGGGAGAAAAGGCAACAGGCCCAAAGGTGACGAAGAAACCCTCAGCGAAGGCGCCAGTAGAGAAGTCCTCGCGGAGAACGATAACGCCACGGTCGGCGGCGACCACGCCTCGTGGGACGCACAAGCCTCAAGCTGCTCCCAGCACGCCTCGCCGTGCAGCCACCCCTCGTGGGACGCACAAGCCTCAAGCTGCTCCCAGCACGCCTCGCCGTGCAGCCACGCCTCGTGGGACGCACACGCACCAAGCTGCTCCCAGCACGCCTCGCCGTACAGCCACGCCTCGTGGGACGCACAAGCGCCAGGCTCCTGCGACGCCTCGTCGCGGTGGCAAAGATCGTAGGGCAGATTTGTCTCGTGGCCCAGACGAGCGTCGCGCCATAAGCACGCCCTGCGAGGCAGTTACACCGCGCGGCTTGAGCACGCCACGCTCCCCGGGCAAGCATCATCATGCCGCGGAAGCCATGACCCCACTGGGAAGTCTTGAAAGAACCCCCCGCACTCCACGTTTGCCACGCACACCTCGCCACACCGGCACTCCACGTAGTCCACACCAGGGCGTGCGTGGCATCGCTACGCTGCAGTTGCCCGCACGCGGGGTGACCCCTGATCGCGCACACTCCGCCACACCGACTCGAAGCAATGGTCGGTACTTCCACCCGCAGCCGTTTGCTGTGGATGCAGGAGCTGCCATCTCGCCCCGCAAGCACAAGACTGGTGTGCGGCGTGGGGAAAAACGCCCAATTCCACCACAGCGGGTCGAGCGCGTGGGTGGTCCGTGCTGCAGACAGACTCCGCGAGTCGGTGTGAGTGAAGAATCGGCGCATCCAGCGAGCATTGTACCGCCGGATCCTGTGACTTCTGATGTCGTGGACGTCAGTGCGCCAGCGGCGGCAACCGCGCCTCTGAGTGTTGGAAGCGAGCCCCACACCTACGAAAATGAGCATCACATTGATGATGATAGCCACCACGCATTCGGCCATGAGAATCACACGGAGGGCAGCGAACACCATGCCAGCTATGCCGATGCACCCGTAACGACAACGAAGGTGGTGACGGAAGAGGAAGGAGAAAACACGCTCATTTCGATGGAGAAGCTTCGTCCGGCCGCTGTTGAAAAGACACCTGGCATCTCACGTGTGTCGCGTTCACGGTCGCGGTCACCGCCAAAGCAGGGGGCTGCGTAGTTTCATCCGTGGCACAGAGCAAGGTATCTACCGCGGTGAGGCATGTAAGGAAAGGGATATGATGAAGGGTGTGTAGGA